GAGAGAGAGAGAGAGAGAGAGAGAGAGAGAGAGAGAGAGAGAGAGAGAGAGAGAGGACAAAACCAGAGAGAGCAATAGAGGAAAAAGACAGTAGGAGCTCATCCCAGATTTCCCGAAACGTGACCAAACTGGCCGAAAGATTCAAATAAAGCACCGCCATACACATCGAAAGATAATCGTGAAGACTGGCGCAACGACCCTATGCTGCGTTTCATCCGGCCGCCACTACCGGAATCATCAGGGGTCTCGTGTCGCTTAGGAAGGGATTGAGCAAGTTAACTCTCCTCATTAAGTACTTCCTAAGTCCACATCGCAGGACAGACAGACTAGAGAAAGAAGTATCATGCCTACGATACCGTCCACAACAGGCCCTGAAGAAACTAGAATGCAGACAATAGGTTTTTGAGACCAGATTGACACAAAAAGGTCGTAGCCACGCCTTTCCGAAATAAGAGGACTAAACAGACAGACCAGATTCAGCATGGAAAAGAGACGGAAAACAGAAATAGATCCATCAAGGTAGAAGATCAAAAGGTACCGGCCTATAGAAAATGACGATGCGTCCCTTCTCACAGTCGATTACCAGTGACAACTTCTTTTGCTCGCCATCTGTCCAGCCTCTGGACAACCCCGCACTCATTGCCTGTTTCATAGGCATCTGTCCGGGTATTTAGACAAACCCAGCCAAAACGTTGCAAGCGTCCCGGGAACATTTTCAAAAAACAAAGGAAAAAAAAAAGAAAAGGAAAAAAAAAAAGGAAAAACAAAAAGACAAAAACAAAAGGAGATACAAAACGAAGTCAGGCTACGGACAAACCCCTAAAAGAAAACACTACCCCAAACTGAATTGGCCCTGAGCAGAACATAGAGCACCTGACTCATTGCCGCGGCTCCGGCCACTCTTGGATGGCTTGAATCTTGTGCGACAACGGATGCCCTCTGGTGTGACAAAATGGCCCAAGTATTCCAGCTCTTGCCGGACAAATTCGCACTTGTTGCGTTTGGCTTTGTACTTGGCGCGGCGGAGCGTCTCCAACACTCGTCGAAGGTGCTCAAGATGATCCTCCAATGACCGGCTATAGACGAGAATGTCGTCTAAGTAGACTAGCACGAACCGGTCCAACATCGCACGAAACTCGTTGGTCATTGCCGCTTGAAAAGTCGTCGGGGCATTGGTGAGGCCAAAAGGCATAACGACCCACTCAAAATGCCTGTACCGCATCTTGAACGCGGATTTGTAGAGATCTTGCGGTCGTATCGAGATTTGGTGATAGCCCGACTTCAAGTCCAACTTCGAGAAGAATTTCACACAGCCCAAACGCTCGAGAAGGTCGTCAATCCGCGAAGAGGTCCTGCATTCTTGACGGTTTGTGCGTTGAGCTTGCGGTAGTCGATGCACAAGTGAAGATCCTTGTTCTTCTTCCGTACGAAGAGAACTGGCGCATCTTATGGTGAGCTACTAGGGCCGATCCAGCCCTTGTCTAATAGATCATCGAGTTTTGGGCGGAGAACCACAAACTTTTCCTCGCTCATGAGATAGATGCATCCTTTCGGCGGCACGGCACTGGCCTCAAGAATGATCTCGTGGGAGATCGGGCGATCCGACACCACACCGGTAGGAGACTCGAAGATGTCAGTGAACTCGTCGAGCAGCTGCACCACACGGGGGTCCGAAGACAAGTCCGTAGGTGAAGATTCGTTCGTCGCGACGACTTGTAGAAAACATAGGCCTATCTCGTCGGTCTGCTCGTAAACGCAAGTGGCCCGAAAAGACTTGGCCGTTACAACTTGGGACCGGATCGAGGGGTGTGGAAGAGGAATGGTACACGACACCTCGGCGTCGAAGGCGTCACGAACGGTAAGTGTCCGCCGATAGGAGTTAAGCGTGTGATCTGCACTTGCAAGCCAAGGCATCCCCAAAATGATGTCGAAGTCCGTGTTCAAGACGTCAAACGTCACCGGTTCGCATGCATGAGGTTCGAAATAAGTCAACACAACTTAATGTAGCGATCGAGGAGTTGTTGCGTCCGACCGTCCGACCATCCGCTGACTTGATCATCGTCGGGTTTGGCTTCCTTCGAACTTGTGCGCCAAGGCTGGCCCTTTGGATAAAGGACTGGCTGATGAAATTGCGAGTTGCGCCGCTATCCAGCAAAGCGCTGCTGGACGCTTGCCCAACTTGGATGTGGACATAAAGGAGCGGTGCATTGTTATCATCGTACCGCTGCATGCGAAACTCGCAGGCCACCTTGCTAACATACGCAAGGATGACTCCCACCGCAGCTTCGTCATCCGTCGACGAAGGTGGTGGTGCATAGAACGCTCAGTATGTCTGGAGATGGGCGCATAGTGCTGCGCATTGCGGTCCCAGCAAGCAATATGTGGAAGGGAGAGGAAGCCATGCAAAATCCTCGGACGTCAACGGGTCCAAGACCTCTATGTTGAACTCGTGCGTTGAATCCCTTGAAGAAACAATTGAAGACGATTCATTGTCGTTGTTGTCGGACGGAGAAGAAGTCGAACACACATCTTGTCCTTGAGCTTGAAAACCCTGCGAAGGAATGAGCCGAGCAGCTTAGTCCTCATAAGAATTTAAGAGAGGACTGTCGACTTTCGCATGTGCCTCAGAATGAAGAGAGGTCGCTCGCGAAGCAATCGGTTTTGAAGGTGTCGAGAGTGCAGCCGCATCACTCTCGACGGTGCTCACTTTCCGGAAAGGAATTTGCCTTTGACTTGCGTGCGGCACGTTGCGGTGTCGTGCACCGCGCTGTTGCACCACAAGCAGTATCGGTACTTAGTACGGATGTGGTACATTCCTTTCGAGATACCGTAATGTGTCCAAGGCTCTTGAGTCGCTGGCCCAGCCCCAGAGGATGAATTGGGGTGTGTCTTCGGTTTGCCGCGTCCTCGCCCTCTGGAGGGGCGGCTACCATCCCGGTCGGCTGCTAATCTGTCTCCTTCATCAGAAGAGGCAGCCTCGTTTGAAGGGTCGGTCACTGTAGTTGCTGCGACCACAACCACTCTTGGTCAATGTTGATCTCTTCCCTGGCTCGCAGCAGATAAACGACCCAAATTCGTGGCTTCAGTGTTCGTCACGCTGATTTGCGAGGCTTTATCAAAAAGTTGCTCACTTGTGGTGAGCGTCTCCGCAACTTGCGTCAAGGCGTTTTGCAACGCTGGACAACTCCTCCTGATGAAGAAATGTTTGATGCCGACAAAGGTCGACGACAAGTTGGGTGTGGACGCCAAGCGTTGGTACTCGGCTATCCAGTCCGTGCTTGGCAGGTCGTTCTGATAGAACCGTTGAAGTTTCTCGACTGCCTGAAGCTCGGGTGGCTCCACTTGGAACCTCTTATGCCATGCTGCCTTGAGATCAGGCCAACTGATTTGCGTATGCAGCTCGGAGACTGCGACGGTGTGCGTGGACAACATGTTGTCCAGCCACGTCTGGCACGTGCCCCCTGATCAGGAGTATAGGTATGAGTACCGGTTCGCCGCGCTGACTTTGTGGATGTCCGGCTTCAACTGAAACTGGCGCCACCGCATCACAGAAGATCAGTATGCCGTCAAACTTCGGAATGCTCTCGCGAGTAGTCGCGGTCGGAATGGCTACGGCGGCACAAATCTGCTGGTCAATCCGCTGATTTGTCGCTAGAGCACCGTCCTTGAGAGTCCCGACGTCGATTTCCAAGACGTTGATGCGGTCCGTCAAGTTGGAGGGTCCGGCGGGGGTGGCTGTTGTAGGCTGCTGTTCCAGCCGGCGTACCCGGTTAAGCAGTTCGTCGATAAGTCGAGCCTGCTTCCGGACCAAGGTGTCCACGCAGAGGATATCCTCTTGCTGTGCTGCATAGGTGGCGACCAAGTCGATCATATGTTTGATTGTGGTTGCAAGGCCACCCACAGCAGGGGGGGCATCCTCCTCTTCAGCAGCCACTGCCCATTCGCCGGCGATCACCTCGATGTCCCCCTCGGATTTGAGGATTTTGTCTCGGCGTAGTCGACGGCGCTCGGCGTCCTCTTGTCGCTGTTGTTCAGCGATGCGACGATGTTCCTCTGCTTCCTCATCTTTCTTCTTACGTGCGGATGTTGCTGCAGCTTCCCGTTGCTTGAACTCTGCTACCATGTACAGCATGCGGGTCTCATAGGCCTCGATAGTCTCTCCCGTCTGCTGATCCATGTCGCTTGTCTTTGAGCGGGTGAGCACCATGCACTGACGTGACCTGCTGCTGCGGCGACTGGTTGTTGACGTGGCACTGCTGACGTGTCCTGCTGACGTGGTCTGCTGAGGTAGCCTGCTGACGTGGCAACTGACCAATGCCGCCGCAGGGGGTACCCGGAGATAGAGAAGACCAGAGGGGCAACAACATAGGTGGGGAGGGGTGGGTTGATCGCCCAGATAAGGAGCCACTAATCAAAAAAGAAAAGTTTCAACTTTGCAAAAAAAAATCGAGAGAACAAAAAATACTCGTTTGCAAGTTCAGTAGGCCTCTCAATTCCCCTTGAAGTGCGAAATTACCAATGAGAAAAAAAATTCGAACTTTCAGACTGCAAATGATTATCCGATAAATGAATTCTGAAAATAAAATACAAAAAAATATTTGGAATTACTCAGATGAGAGTACGCGCAGTTTGGAAAATGATAACTGCAAGAGGGATTTCCCATACCGTTTTCAAATCTTAAAAAATGAATTTCGAAAATTAAAAAAATATTCTGGATTTCCAAATAATGGGAAATTGCAAAAGGAAATCGAAATTAAAAAAAAAAAATATTCCGGATTTCCAACAAAATTTCGAATTTTAAGAAAAACGAAAACGAAAATGTCAGGTGTTGCGCTATAATTGCGATTTTCCACAACAGAAATAGATGGAAAACAAAATTCAAGAAAAGAAAAAAAATCCGATTTTCAGCAGTAAGGTGAAAATCGCGATTTTGGGGGCTAATTAGTGTGCTCTAATCAATCAATCAATCGATCAAGACTAATCAACTAATTAGTCCCCGCACACGTGTCAGATCAGCCTGTCATGATTCACATGCAGTGTTCCGATACCAACTATTACATGCCCAGTTGGGCAATGTATGTACAGCCAAGGATCCGCAATGTGATAAAAAGGATTGAATGGACAATGCGATGTTAGTGGAATCTCAACAAGCAATTCACATCCTGATACATACAAAATGGCACTTTGTAGCGCAGTGGAAGACTTAGATATAAGCCCTGACCTGATCGGGATTGACCTCTCTCACGTAGTACAAGACAGCCCAATCAATGTCGCAATGCAGACCAAACATACACCATCCACATCACAAGGCATGAAGGGGCCTGGCGCTACACACAGGAAGAATGCACCAGGTCCAGACCATACACAGACGAAGAGAAGGGGATCAGACGAAGAAGAGGGGGAAGATGGGAATGTTGTCAACACCAAGTCTTCGGTACAAGTCCCAGATAATCCCTCGTCAAATGTCTGAAGCCCAATGTCGCGTCTGGATCCAAATGTCACCAATCCCGCTCTCTCTCGTAGTCTGCTGATGCAGTGAAGTCAGGTAGCGAGAGGGTGAGAGAGAAATGGTGGACTGAGAAGAGGAAGAAGAAGAACTCTCTCTCTCTCTCTCTCTCTCTCTCTCTCTCTCTCTCTC